GGTAGGCATACATGCCACTATACCGAGGCTGTTTGGCAGCAGATTCCTCGGGTAGCATTGATTCCTTGACCTTGGATTTTATCCCATCACATCCTACCACTACATCAGCCGTGGCGGTTGTGCCATCTTCAAAATGTAGCCAGATCCCGTCTGTTGTTTCCGTCAGTTGGTTCAGCCGTTTGCCAAAATGAACGATTTCGGGAGGGACCAGAGCCACGAGGGCAGCGAGGAAGTCCGCACGTCTCAGCGTCGTCTGTCCCGACGGCAAGGCCTTTAGGTTCATTAGAGTTTCGCCTTCATGGTCGCCGGTGGCCCAAACGAGTTCAAACCACGTTTGTTTGTATAGTTCATAGCCGGGGCTATCCGCGTGGGTTGTGACAAGAGCGTCGTAGATGGCTCGAATCTCCGGGTCAATGAGGGGCATAGCCCGGTGAGCTGCTGGACCAATGGACAGCCCTAGCCCTATTTCTGCAAAGGCAGCGGCGGCCTCATAAATTTGAACCGGAATCTGACGTCGTAGCAGACCGACCGCGAGAACGAGGCCACCGATGCCTCCACCGATGATGGTGACGGTAAACGGTCGGGGTGGGCCCATAATGATTTGATGGGCAGCAACTTTGGTTCGGGCGGGGATAAGAAAATAGTAGCCCTCAAACTAGACTAAACCTCGGCTCGCACTCCCCACTCTCTTTCTTTTTCTGTCTGTCGCGTTCGGGGTATGGTTCCTCCCACTCCCAGTTCCTCGTTCAGGTCAAGATCTGGTCTGACATGGGTGGTGGGAGAGCCAGGGGGGCATCAAGGGAGGATTAGAAATAGATGGTTATCAATGCGGCGAACGACAGGGAAGTGAGCCGCGGTGCCCCTGAGAGGATGGCCATTAATAATTTGGATCACCACGAACAAAGCGCGCAGGAAGCGAAGATAGCAGGGATGTCCCATCTGGATGGACTGTGAGTGGCGTGATCCCATGTCAAGGAATCCAGCCAATGTCACCAAGAATAGACTAAGACAACTAGTGGCCGGCTTAGATTGAGGGGAAATCGACGTGTCGCGGTCATCCCCGATCAGCCAGCCCCAAATGATGACTCCTTGCTTTGTTTCCGACGGATTCATGATGCGTGATTTTTACGACAATGCAATTGATTGGAAGAGTGTCACTAACCAATTGAAATTAGAGTCTGACAGCCGTTGATCCAGACTAGTAGTAGTATCGAGGCATGGAGCCCTCTCGTGCCTGGCAGATGCCCTATTCTTTTGTGTCGGCCGGTTTCCCCGCGATATCTCCGGGCCCGTGCCTGCATCTCTTCCCGTGTTCGAGGTGAATTGACTCCAGTTCAGTCCGTTCAGCTCCCCCACACATTCCCGGTCTTAATGCTTAACCCTCTATTCCAAAGTCGCACATTTCACACATTGCACACTCTAGTCACTGGGATCGCCATCTATGTGCTACAGTATATCCTACCAACGAAGGTCATCGCAAAAATGAGGAGCTTCAGAGCACCCCATATCAACTTCTCCCCGAAAGCTACTTCAAGTCATGGACCAGGAGCACACGACAGGTCGTGTGTGTGGAGCCCTCCGTGGAGCGTCAATAGATGAATGACTGTGCCAGCTGGAAATTATCCCGCCCTCCTCCATCCTCATTGGCACACTTCCAATCCACACCAAACAAGACATCAAGAGATCTCGGGCGTGTCCGGCTGCACCCACGGACCAGGTTCATGCGCATAACTTCCTTCGACCTTGGTCTGGACGGACTGAGATCCACGATCTCTTTCCCTTCCGGGCATAGACAGGCCGATTAGGTTGACTTAGCTGGCTATCCCCTGATGGCCTTACGCACGCCTGCCAGGATCAGAGATTTTTTATTCCTGGTCTGTCCCGGGGTACAAAGTCTTTTGCTGGAGCCTACCCCGGGTACTCGTCGGTCCCCTCACAGAATACGGATGATTGCGTTGGATTGTTTTTTCTTCTACTCAGCGGTGCGGTTCGGTCAGATGCATCATGCTGCCCTGGATACGGGCGGTTGACGACAATGCCTCTCAGGCATCAGTCGTCGTAGTCCCGACCATTGTGACCACGGTCATTGCCGTGGTACTTACACTGCTGCGGCTGTACGTTCGAAAGTTTGTCATGAGGACACTGTCCTGGGATGACTGGTTCAACCTCCTCGCGACGGTAAGGGCTGCGCTGGCAGGACTGTTCAACACTTTCACTGATGCCCTTGGACTCAGCTGACCACCCTCATCGCCATGGCCTTGATCCTCGCTGCAGTCCCGTACGGACTAGGTCGCCATTATGACACCCTCGACGTCGACCGTGCCGTCTATTGCATCAAGCTCATGCGGATGTGCCTCTTTCCGTTGCTGTTCTCGACTATCTTCCTGAAGATATCCATCAGTCTTCTCTTGATGAGGCTGTTGTACGTTCTACCAGAGGCTAACTCGACGGAATATAGGCTAACAAGGCATCTAGTCTTACAACCAAGGTGTGGAAGATATTCTTCTGGTGCTTCATTGCCTTCAATACGATCACGAGCCTTCTGGATGCCGCTATTGTCCTCCCTCAATGTGATCCGGTAGCGCGAACATGGGACAAACGAGTAGATGGAACTTGTTGGCCTAGTTCGGCAATCAATGGGGCGGCCATTGCGCAAGGAAGTAAGAAACCCTCTGATCTTTCTTTGGATCACCGGCTAAGACGTAAGTGTAGCAATCGCCGCAGGAACAGACATCGTGCTATCCATCCTACCCATCGTGTTTCTATGGAAGGTTAAAATCCCGATCAAAGTGAAGACAGCCATATGCGGGCTCATGGCACTGGGATTTGCGTGAGTCTATTCTATGCTCAGGCCGGATGGTATGCTGACTTCGGATACTAGGAGTGCGGGGTTTGCACTTGCGCGAACAATGTACGTTTCCACCTTGACCGAGTCATCGGATCCGACATGTACGTGCATACCTTGCGATCCAACTTTTGTCATAATTTTACTAATATGGGGCTAGGGGACTACGTGAATCTCTACATGTGTGCATTGTAAGCGAGCTCTTTACCACATACACTTCGTAATGCTAACCACCTCACAGCCTAGAATCCTCCATTGGAGTCATCGCTGCCGCTGCACCCTCTGTACGGCCTCTCCTTCGCCCCGGATTCTGGAACAAGGAATACTCCCGGTCGAGATCCCGCTCTTTCCCGCTGCATACGTTGACCGCCAAGAAGAGCGCACGGCCGGTCTGGGGCGATACCCTGTTCGATACCAGGCTCGATCTGGAAGACCGCCCGATCAATTCGAGGGACAGCGAGTCCAAGCTGTGGCCACAGCTAAGCATGGCTATTGTGAAGCGGACATCGATAGAGGTGGTGACCAACTCTTTGACGCATAGTGAGGTGAAAGCCATGGGACGGCGAAGTGCTTAGAGTTTTGTACAGATAAAGACTGGTTGGATGCAAAAGTTTTCCACATATAATTCCTGCTACTGAACAGAGCTAGAGAGGCTAATGTCATTTTAATTACCCGGGTATATACTCATGCCTGCCGTTCAGTCCCCCTCACCGACTGCTAAACCATTTAGCGTAAGACAGAAGAGTGTTGTCCGGTCATATATCCTTCCATCCGATCTTTTCCCATGTCTAATCTGTCCATCTTGTGACTGCTGATCTATCCCCTTCTCTCATGACTGTGCGCTGAAGCTAGGAAAACCTAAGTCCTTGATGGATTTCACAATCCAACACCAATTTTCCACAAAAGTAAATCCGGTATCAGATGCTGGTTATCTGATTAGATTATTCTCGGTACCGGATATGCACAACTGAGGACAACTTCCGAGAGCATAAGTGGACTCTTCGCTTGGTTGTCGTCGTCATGGGGTAATATCTAGCAAAAGAGATTTTCGTCGCCATCGAATAACATCGGAGCAATAAGGTCGTGGACCTGACTCTGACAGTGGAGATGTCGGACATCGGAGACAGCCAAGTTGATCTGCCCCGACGGGAACTGCAGATCTTATCCCTCCGGGGTTCTGGGCGCCAAGAACGCCTGCCCCGTTCACTTCACGTCTGTCTGATTCTCGCCGGTCTTTTCAAGAGGTTTCTGCGGGATCGAGAATATTAAATGGGATGAACATGGAAGATTTAAGGATATGTCTGGGTGTTGAGGTCTCCGATTCCCGTCGGCAGGACCTGGCATATCTCCTCAAGCCAGGCAACGGAACCTTGATGCTGTTCCTGTACTTTAACTATGGCCGAAAACAAGGGTCACTAGTTGAATTGCCCCTCTGGGCTGTGGGTTCAGCCCAGAACTTTTGCTCCAATAGATGCGAACACAATGCTATTTCATATTATTTGGCGCAGACCGTCGTCGGACAACGGATATCGGAGAGAACTCTCCGCCGCGTCATTGTTGATGCCCCGAATCATTGGACTCTTGTAGATGGATGTACAGCACTTATCTGGTAATCCGGGTGTCCGCCAACATCCGGCCGTGTATACCATCCACATCATGCCCAACGGAGCTGTAAGCCGGCAGCTGATCCGGAGTTTCAGCGGATGTATAGCGAAGCAATACCATGTTGCTTCAGCATACTATCCGCTCCGGTCGAATCCTACCAGTCTGTTGCCAGGCAGAGGCAAACAGATACAACGTGTTTGGTTGCACCATATCCAGTCCGCGCAGGACTCGCTAGGGTATGAAGCAGGATTGTGCACGGATGCACATGTTCCACATCACCCTGACTATCTCAATATCCACCGGGTACATGATTTAGCCGGCATCCTTCCCAGTCCCTGTATGAAAGGGACACGCAAGTGGATTTCACAGAACAGTGCTCCACGCTTAGCAATGTTTCAGCAAAATCTGCATCCGACGCGGGGCAAGTGCGCTTTTGCTCCAGGTCGGAGTGCATAAATACCACCGTCTTCTCGCTCGTCAATGCCCTGCTCAGGCGTCACTTAGTGAGGATCAGTTCAAGTCTTAAAGTATCGGGCAGTCCTCCGCAACCATGCGCTGCTCCCTCCTCCTCCTTCTTGGCCTTGCCGCTGTCCCGGCCCTTGGAGGCTGTCCCTTCGCACACACTGCGAATATGGACGTTGATGACATGGTGAAGGCACACGCTCGCATGTCCCGAGGGTTGGTGGCATCCAAGAGCAGCCCCTCAACTGCTCCTACCTCCTCTACTACCCCTACCGTCGGCAAGAAGGGCGTGTTCATGATGAACCGCATTGCGCCTGGCACCTCTGAACTTTACATTGCCAACACAGACGGCAGCAATGAGCGTCCACTCCTCTCTGACCTCGTCTTCGAGTACCACGCCTCCTTCTCTCCAGACGGAGATTGGATTACTTTCACCAGCGAGCGCAACGGCGACGGTAACTCTGACATCTACCGGGTGCGGACCAATGGCTCTGATCTGCAGGAGCTGGTCGCCACCCCAGCAGTGGAAGACTCCGTCGTGATCTCTCCCAACGGCCGTCTGGCAGCCTACGTCTCCACCGCCAACAACATGAAGGCAAACATCTGGGTCCTCGACCTGCAGACCGGCGCGCAGTGGAACCTCACCAACACTCCCAGCACTGCCGCCAACTCCTCCCTCATGGAGAGCTATCTCCGCCCTGCCTGGTCCCCCGATGGCGAATGGATCGCCTTCTCTTCGGACCGCAACACCCAATGGGACGGACACGGCGAGCCGACCTTCCTCGGCCGCACAGGCTGGGAGACGACACAAGAGCTCTCCCTTTACGCCATCCGTCCCAACGGCTCCGACTTCCGCCAGATCATCTCCAAGCCATACTACTCGCTGGGATCTCCCAAGTGGTCCGCCGACGGTAAACGCATCGTCTACTACGAAATGACCCGGGAAGATACCTACAACGCCCACCGTCCGGAAACACGGCCAACTCAACCATCATGTCGGTCGATTTCGCCACCGGCACCGATGTGCGTGTTGAAGTCGCCGGCTCGGGCGTCAAGCAATTCCCGCAGTACCTAGATAGGAACGGCACCATCGCCTACACCCTCAAGGGCGGCACCAGCGAGGGCTTCTACACCACCGCAGGACTGTACGTCAACACGACCTCAGCGACCCTCCGGTCCCCGGCGTGGTCTCCCGACGGCAAACAAGTAGTCTACGAAAAGACCACCTGGAGCATCCGCGCGGGATACAAGAAGCTGTACAGCTGGGACAGCGACTGGGACTACCGGTTCACGGACGTCTTCCCTCAGATCTCGCACCAGGAGCGCATCGCTATCACCCAGAAGCAGCTGGGAACCTCGTCCATCGTGACGCTGAACACGACCGGCGCTGACCTGCAACTTGTCTACGACCCCAGCACGGCAGACTTCGTCAGCGACAACGAAACAACAGGTCTGAGCGCCTACCAGCCCAGCTGGTCCCCATGCGGCGAGTGGCTCGTCTTCGGCGTGGGATTCTGGTTCGAGACCCGAAAAGCCTCCGGCGGATGGATCGTGCGTGCTACCGCCAACGGGAGCTACTCGGAGGTACTCGTGAATAGCAGCTACTCCATCACCGAGGACGGGGCCCTGAACAATGGATTCCCGAGCTTCTCACCGGACGGCAAGAAAGTAGTGTATCGGGTATGGGGAGCCGACACCGCGACATACGGTAACGCCAGCGAGATCGGGTTGCGGGTGCTGAACCTCGAGACACGCAACACAACTGTGCTGACGACTGAATGGGATAATCTACCCCAGTTCTCCCCGGATGGAGAGCTCATCCTGTTCACGCGCAAGACCAGCACGTACAACTATGATGTGTGCACCATTCGACCGGACGGGACGGTTCTACGCGTGTTGACGAGTAGTGGTGCTAACGATGCACATGCGGTGTGGTCGCAGGATGGGCGGATTATGTGGTCGACGGGAATGTATGGGTTCCGGTTTGAGTGTGCCTTGTATGATGATACGTTTCAGCCGTATGGGCAGATCATGATTATGGATAAGGATGGGGGGAATAAGAAGTTGATGACGAATTCGATGTGGGAGGATTCGATGCCGTTGTTTTTGCCGAGTGATGTGCTTTAATTGGTTCTGGGAGGATGCTATAGTTGTTGGGGTATGTATGTAATTGGTGTACGATGGGGGGTACATAAGTAGTAGTTGTGGTTACAGCGCGTTGGAGGGGATGGAATGACAGCTATGTTCGATCTGATCTCGGCGATCCGGTGTAAATGTTCTGGGAAAGCAGGATCTACGTAACCTTGCTACCTCGGAACAATATGGCTGGGAATTGACGGGAGCGATATTCTGCCTTTTTCTACTCAGACTACTGCTTAAGGATGTATGTATGAGATGGTTGTACAACGAATTTAGATCATATTGGTAGGACCTGTCCGAGGGAACAGCGTTGACGGTCGGTTCTATAGCATTAAATATTTCAGCAGTGGAAGATTCTGGCTTCAATATCCATCCCATATATGCATCCATAACACCAATCAATGGCAACCCCACTTGCAGTCACTACATGTATTGAGTGACATACAACATTCTAAAAAACCCCATATATCATTTTGAATGCAGCCGGCATTACACTAGCAATTCGTCAACATCACTTTCATGACGGTTTGAATAAATGTCCCATGCTGAGGCCACGTCGTCTTAATTAACTTCCCCCAATGTTCCATTCGCACAAGACAGTTTCCACAACCGGTGTATGACAGCTCATATCATGACACATCTACTATCATGTTTTTAAAGCGATGATTGACTAAGGTTCACAACAGAAGACCGTCTCGTTATCATAGATTCTTGGTGTGATCTCAGGATGGTATACTCCGGGCTTTTTGTTACTGTCTCCTTTGTGTCTGGGTTTCTCTACGGAGAATTTCTTGCGTCTTTTGCACTTCTTTCTTGTGCAATAGTACTCGATGTACTGAAGAGATCTTTAGACCCAAAGCTGGTTATGATCACAGGGTCTGCTGAAGTTTGGAATTTCCTTGAATAATTCCGAAAAAAAGCACTATGGTATTATTACTTTAGTCGAAAGCCAGGTGTCAGAGTAAAGCGACTACTAAGATCTCATAGTTTGCTTTTCCGTGACTTGGCCGCGCGGAATGAACTGGGAGACTTGATCACCCTGCGCCATTCTTCATTCAGCACCAAATGATCGCGTTTAGCCATCTTCTGTCTCTTTTCCTTCCACTCCCGCTCAGTGTCGCGGTATCCGCGCATAACCTCATCTAACCAGCTGGCACAATGGCCGGCTGTCTCTCCCACCACCTCAAAGGCGAAGAAGTGACCTTGTTTGGGTAGAGTAACTTCCTTGACCTTGTCTTTCCCCCCGCTGCCCCCAACTCCTTGACCACAGCTCTTGATTCCTTCCCGAAGATCTTTGAGATTCAAATAACTCACTTCGCCAAGCAGGAAGAGGGCTGACGGTCGTAATGATGGCAACTTGTGGAAGGTACTGGGTGGTTCGGGCCGATACACCGGAAGAACAGCCACAGAGGGGTCCACATCCGCATGGGTTGAGCGACCCAACTGAACCTGGCCATCTGTCATTCCAGCGTGGAAGCGTTCCCGGATTTGGCCCAGCACATCATGATACTTGGTCGTGGTCAGTGTGACAGGCGGGTCGGCAGCGTCTACATTGTCGGGCAGGTCGGGATGCAGGGCCGTGGGCAGGTCTCGGAACCCATACTGTACCATTAGTTCGAGACAACGGGGATCCCATTTCTTGAACACTTTCTTGTAGCCTGCAGCAGCAGCGGCCCTATTTGGCCAGACGTCATCACGCCACAAGGCAAAGTTGACAGGACCGGGCGGATCAGCGCCAAAGCCCATCTTGGGCGGCAATCGTTGAATTACCGGATCGAAGAGGATAACCGAAGTTAGTAGACGGGGGTGCATCAGTGCCAGATTCGTACTTCAAAGTGGTCAGCAACCATCCATCTAGGGGTAGTGAGTGGAGACGCACATGATGGTACCTCCGAAGCTGTGGCCCACCCCTACTAGCGGTCGGGGCATCTGGTCGCGGAAGTGGTTGATCATCAGGAGAAGGTCGCGGGGATGGTCCATCCATGAGCCTAGAACATGACCATTTTAGCGGGGGTGTTATGGAATCTGGGCGAAGCAGGGCCAGTCACGCACAGTCCATGCTAAGTTTATCTTCGTTGATTACTCCACTCATGCCCATGTTGGCAACGTCTGCTATCCAGATACCGCGGATGTGGAAGTTGGAATGAGCGGATCGAGCGAGAAGCTCGTCCCAGAGTGGCTCGTAGAGCTCCTATTCCTGATCAGATCACCTCCATCCATAGCATTGAAAGGAAAGACACCTACTTTGGGGAAGCCCACAGCATGAACTGCAATGATGGTGACAGCATCAGCTGGGACGGGATTGGGTAGATGGCGAGGCGTGTATTGCTTGATGTGGAGATGCAGGACATCTTCTTGGTCCACGGTACTGCCCGCATACTCCCGAACATAGCACGCGGGGATGATGTGCTCGGTGACTCTGAACTTCGCGGTCGACATTATTATTTATAAACGACCGTAAATGAGAGGTTTATGCAAAAGAGAAATAAGCCGATGATGATGAAGGCGGGGGGAGAACTAGCTGATGTAGTTGAGCTGAGGTGAGACGGCAAGTCTGGGTCGGGCGGCCCACTTCCCCACGGATCTCGAAGCTGGCTGAAGTTGACAGTTGGACTCAAAAGCATACTGGACTCTTGCTGGACATATATGACTACTGTTTGACCTTTATGGTGTCGTGATCGATTCTCGATGTGGGAAGATCAACACGGGACAGAAGCATTGTCACACAGTCATCCCGATAAGGCTGCCACGGAAGGGACAGACAGGTTTGGGGTAAGTAATAGTTGGTTCTATGGATGCGGCATGTAGGACAGCCCAAAAGAAGGAAGGAATCGGTCGGGGAATATGTTGTTCTACATACCCACACATTCACTGCTACGGAGTAAAGAGAGCCATGCATAACTCGTATTAAAGGCATTTTGTTGGGGCTGTTTTATACATTTTAAAACAATGCATTATTATCCTCCCGAGCGATCACACGGGACGGGAACAACAAACGGGAAAAAATAAAAAGATATGACAAGAGTGGGACTCGAACCCACGCCTCTTTCGAGACTGCAATACATCCAACTGAGTTGGACAAGCGAGATTCACTTGAGTGCAGCGCCTTAGACCACTCGGCCATCTTGCCTTTGATGGGATATTTGCCGAAGCTTTGCGTACATGTTGACAACAGATTCAACCCGGACTTGACACATTCATGCCAGTGTGGCATGCGACTGCCCTAATTTTCCTTCAATGGAAAACAAGTATGGCTATTTTGGTAATACTTTAGAATCAATCATAACGCTCTTCTGAGCAGACATATCCCAGAACCATAGTGCTGATGGAAATTCTGCTACTACAGACTGATCTGGTATCCGCGGATATATTCGATCTTACTTTGAACATCATCTTGATTCATGCCTGTCGGATACCTCTCCGACCGTGTCAAATGCTTCAAGATGGTTGGCCAGTAAACCGTCACCAATGCGATGGCGTGCGTTGGCGGCACCATCGCCTCATCACCGCCACGCCCAGCCCGGTAACTACTTGAATTGGCGCCTCGGCAGAGGAATCGATCATCATTTCAAGATGCGGGGAAACACCAGGCATGGCTGATCATCCCCTGTTCCCCGTTTCCAATTTCTTCTCTCTACCCTTCACCTCCCGTCATGAGCGCTGAAGGAAGAATTCGCAAACGTATCCCCAAGTCATGTAAACGCTGCCACCGACGCAAGCAGCGATGCGTCGGTTATCCGACCTGTACCGGCTGCGAATCCGCCAAACAGCCCTGTCTGCGATCTGAGTCCGTTCCCTCCTGGCACCATGCCATGTCCAAGGGCGCATTGGTGCGTCGCATCGAAGTGCTCGAAGCGCAACTATCCGCTGCACTGGAACAGATTCCCCCGGATGAAGAGGCGCCAGCAGAACCGCTGTCAACGGGCGCAAAACTACAACCCCATGACTCCCGAGCTGGAGTGGTCTCAATGATGGCAATGAGCCAGGAGGGGAGCGACAACCTGGCTTACCTAGGACCCTCGTCAGGAATGTCCATCGCAGAAGATCTGGGCCGTCTGGTGCAAAACGCCGTCTGGCTGAGGTCCATTCCCATCAATGGCAGTCACCATCAACCTCCGCCGGAGTGCGAGAGGACCGCAGCCAGCACCACATTACCGAGCGAGGCTGTTGGTCTACGCCTCCTTAATGCCTATTTTAAAGACATGCATACCCGTCTCCCGTTTCTTGATCGTGCGGAACTGATGCAATTGCATGCGACCGTACGAAAGTCCCCGTCAGATCAGATGAGCGAGGCTGCACGGTTCAAACTATTCATGGTATACGCCATTGGCGCAGCTATTCTACAGATGACCGAGACCTACGACTCCACGCCCCCGAGCGCGTTTGTAGCCATGGCACTACAGCTGGAATCTGTCCTCGGGGAATCGCAGTCCTACATGAACATCGAAGCACTCATGTTACTCGTCCTCTATCACATGCGAACATCGTCTGCCACGAGAGTATGGTATCTGATAGGTCTAGCCATGCGCATCTGTATTGATCTAGGGTTGCACCGCGAATCTCAGTATCGGAAGATGCGACCGTATGAAGGGCAAATGCGCCGACGGCTGTTCTGGTCAGTCTACCTGGTTGAGCGATACGTCGCCTGGTCTCTGGGACGGCCGTTCAGTGTTCCAGAGGAGGATATTGATGTCCATGCTCCATCGGACCTGGATGATTCGTGTACCAGCGACGAGCTGGTTGAACAGGCTCTGCAGGGCTCAGTCGCTCCGCGCGAGCCGGCACACGGAAGGAAGCTTCGGAGATTCATCGCTTTGGCACAGTTGCAGCGCATCATGTCACAGATTCATACCCGGGTTTATCGAACAGATAAACACACCACAACGCTTGTCCCAGAGACGACTCCTCTGCTTGCTGCGTTGGAAGAATTCGAAACATCGCTGCCGGAAATGGCACCGGAAGAAAACGACTTTGTTCATATGCATTGG